AGAGAGAGTGTGTGTGTGTGTGCAAGCGGGCGAGCGAGCAAGACAGAGAGGGTGAGAGAAAGCAATTTTTAGGGATTTATGTGGGGAAGGAGAAGAGGAAATTTGGTGCTACCTCTTAAACAATGGCAGTCGACAATGTTTTTAGGCGATAATTTTAAACGACTGCCGCTATATATTAGCATTATTAGTGGTAACTGGCCTATAGCCACTTCTTGAACTACCGCTAAAAGTGTATTTTTTTTGTAGTGTGATGAACGTTTGTGGTTGAATATCTCTTTAGGGGATTTCAACAACCGCCCTCATATCTCTTTAAGGTGGTATTTGGTGTTGCAATTTTCTATGTAAGTCTAGCATTTTTTGTATCTAGCATCTACTAAATAATATTTTCCTATTTAAAGTGATAATTTATAACAAAAAAATCAGTTATAATGATAAAATTGGTTGCTGAAGTATCAAAATGGATGAAAATAACAATATAAGTTACCTTTTGGGACATGAAGTTTACATTCTCTTCATAGGGAATCTTAGAGGATTGTGACATCTATGGCGGAATCCTTCCATTCAGCCAGTACATACTTGAATTTTAAATCAAATGTGACTGTAACCATTACATTTTGAGTTGTTTTTCCCTTTATACCATGAAACTTGCCTTACTCTTCAACAAACACTTTGCATGGCATATGAGTGCCATCAATTTCACCTATGTAGTCATACAATTAACTAAATTGTGTCACATGTTTTGCCCATAGGGTGTTTGTGGAAATGTAATAATTACTAAATTATCAAAACATACCTTAAAATATGGTATAACTTTAAGGGTCATTTCTAATCTCAAGGGGTACTTATATGATTGTACAAGTAATAAAGGGTACAATTTAAGTACACCATGTAAGGCTTTGTGAAAATATTGACTTACGGTTTCTTGTTAATGCACGAAGGTAACATGTATAACATTATTTCTTTCATTATGCCCTATAGTGTGCAAAAACATTGCAACTTGTTTTTTAACAAACAAATTAATGGTTGGCTAAAATCCATAGTGCATTATAAGCAAGTGACACAATGAATTAAAGCATAGCTTTTTCATTCTAACTTGCAAGAGATGAAATGCCTCACTACTAAATATGTTGTTAAGAAAAATTTCTTTCCCCGATATCTTAACATCTTGCACCTTTTGACTTATAGATAATGTATAGTATCTGGCCATAACAACCATTGCAACAAAATTCATCATGGCACTAATGGCCCCATTGATTCATCGATGCTTGACCACAATTTCGTGTAGTACCATCATGTTTGGTGGACAAAACAAAATTATGTCATGAAACAAGTTCCATTATAAGATAATACAAAAAAATTAGTGGAAACATTTACCGGTTCCTTTTATCTATGTTTGACTAGGAACATTAGGTCATAGAAACAAAGTCCCATCTTAAATAAAAGTTGAATTTCGTAGTGGGACTAGGGACATTATTGTTACCTTTTTTTTCCCAAAAATATACATACTAATTCATAACAACAAACTTATATGTCTTTGATTAATTTGAACTTGTGGATTAAAGATCCAAACACATTCCACTTAGTTAAGGTACTTTGAATTAATAGGATGAGAGTGGGTCCAACTGCAATAAAGAACCACTCTAGTTGGTTCCATCTATTAAAAGCTAGGAGAAGTTCTTTAAATTGACGATACAAGGAAGAAGTTGACTAGCTTATTGAAAAAGGGGATATACTTGGTTTTGACACATTAAATCTACTTATAATATGTGTAATTTTGAAGAGGACACTAACAATGGTGTTGATGAGCCATTTAATAATAATCCTTTTTAGGGTTCACTATTGATAGAAGAACTTAATTTTGGAGGTCTTAGTGGGCATTGGACTTTCTTTTGTTATCATCCACAAGATGCTTCATGAGTAGTAAGGGACAACAGTGGGTAGTAGCCCTTCTATCCTCCTAACACCAAGTAGGAAGGGTGTTGACCCTTTCTAGCCTCTTAACACCAAGTGAGAAGGGTAGTGGCCCTTTCTAGCCTCCCAAACTTTCTTTAACATGGAAATTTGGCTTAAATTTCTTTATTTTGCTTTTGCTGGAACTTCCTAACATCATATACCCCAATTCCATAAAACCTATCTACCTTTGGTTTCATTGAGTACTTCTTAGAGACACTAGTTTTTTATACTTTTTTTTTTTTATGCTTCAAAGACCTATATTCTCTTTAGTTAAGTTTAACTTGTGCAATAATTCTTAGTTTTTTTATGTACCTTATGTACTTTATATGGAGAAATATTTTAACATCTAAAAGAAGGCACACATACTCAAATAAATATAAAAGAATTACTCCTTATTGGGTGTTACTTACCCAAAATGATTTTATCTTCATAATTTTAGTAATGGTATCTCAAATTAAATTCGTTTACTTAACTAACAAAAAAGTTATTAAAATGCTATACTCTTTGTATTTATTGTTATGATGACCCTTTAGTAGTGTGAACTTTCTTCTTTTAAATTTCCATTTATTTTTTTTCCATTGAAGTGGGGTGAAAGACAAAAGGCAAACTGTAATTGTTAAGTTATTACCTATAAAAAATTTGCTATTTCAAGGTATGTGCAAAAGATATGTTAGGAATAAACTCCACATTTGTGATTACCCTACATAGACAACACAATCTATAAGCTTCTGAAGTTAGAAATAAACATTCCATAATTCTAACACATGTGGCAAGTATATAGCCCCTACCCCACTGAACACAACAATTCAAATTGATTGTTCACCACCTTATTTAATTAAATAAACAAATAATTAAAGAAGTAAACCTTTCCTCATTTTAAACTGTTTAAATGATATCTCCTATTAGGTGTACTATGAAATGAGACATTTTGAAACAAAAAACTTATAATAATAAGAAAACATAAACATAAACTATTCTAGATGCTAATTAACATGGGTTTCAACAAGAGGGATTTGTCAAAAAAAAAAAAGTTTAATAGGGGATTCAACTTCTTTAACTGAGGATTCAACAAATTTATAAGGGGTTTCAACTTTCAACTAGTTTAACAAGGGATTCCACAAGTTTAACAGGGGATTCAATGAGTTTAACAATGAATTTCAACAAGTTTAATAAGGGATTCAACTAACTTAACATTGGATTCAACAAGTTTACCATGGAATTTCAACAAGCTTATATTAACCAAAGAAAATTTTATTTTACAAGAGATGCATATCTTCTTGTAATAAGAAAACATTATATGATATTAAATTTTCTCTATAATAAGCAAACACGATAATAAATTAAGTTTTCTCTGTAATAGGGAACAATATAGGAATTTCAACAAGTTTATGTTAACCAAATAAATTTTTTAAGGGGATTCCATCTATTCTCTTCCTATGAAGAATGACGAGTACCATATATTATAAAGAATTAATTAAGTATGAAATCATAAAGAAATAACAAATAAACAAAGAAATTCAGGACAAATATAGACTTACTCAAATATTGAAGACAAATGATTAATTGGAAGCTTATCTAACCTAAGAAAAATAAACAAAAAAAAATATATGAATTTATCTTCACATCCATTGTTCAATCCTTAAAATGGATAGGAACAACCAATCTAGTACTCAGATTTATAAACGAACATTGTCAGTTTGGACAAACACATTCAATTTGAGTTCTAGATTGAAAAAAAGGTGACAAACACATTCAATTTGAGTTCAATCCTTAAAACACATTCAATTTGAACTCTAATGACGTTCTCATTTTTTTTTAATTTGTTTTTCTCAATGTTTTAGGACTATAATCTTCTTGAGAAGAATAAAAGTTTTGGTTGTTTATTGACATTTGGCCTTTTGGTGTCATTAATTGAATATAGTCTTGAACCCTATTTTACATTACCGATAGGGGTGCTCATAAAAAAACCGGAAAACTGAACTGGATCGAAAAAACCAAACCGAAAAATGCGATTAACCGAACTGATTGGTTCGATATTTCTGAAAAAAAATGAAGGACCAGTTCGATTTTCAGCTAACCTAGGAAAAACCAATGATTAACCGAATTAACTGATATATATATTTATATGTATATTATATATTGTTAATATATGTGACATTATATATATATATATATATATATAAATATATAAATATATACATATATTATATTTATTTTATAATATATGTTATAAATATAAAAACCAAAAAATCGAAATAAAAAACCAAAACCAATCAACTGGTTATCCAGTAGTACCAATTTGACTTCGATTAAGAGAGATGCAAAAAGCGATAAGACCAATTTGGTTTCAGAAAATTGCCCATGGTAAGGGTGTCAATGGACTAGACCCCGTCTAGTCTAAAATCAATTTGAACAGATTGGACGAACCAACAAGACATATTGCATTGGATATGATTCATCTGTAAAAAATTTATATTAGACTGGACCCCGTCTAGTCCATTGATATAAGATAAATATATAGGTGTCAACGGACTGGATTTGGGTTTTGGTTGAAACCAGTATAAATTAAAACAAATTTGAACAGATTGGATGGTCCATACATTGAATTAGACTGGTCCAAAATATTCATTAGATTGGATTGAATCTGGTTCATTTGTAATAGACTCACATTGGACTGGATCGAATTGACATCCTTGGGCCATGGTCGATTAATCGAGCTGTGAGCACTGAGCACCCGTAGACTTATCGATGTAGAACTTCTAGTCTAGATCGAGACCCGACAAAATAGGCAGGTCGGTCTTTGGATATGGGTTTGTCGGCGACCCGATTAGTGAAATGTCGCCAGGGATGTGGTACGTGCCGATAACCCTGTAGCTGAGATGGTGACTCGGTGTTCCTCTTAACATGGAAGCGAGAGATCAAATCTGCGTAACTGCAGATTGTGCATGATAAGGTCAGTAGACCTCGCGTTTATTGTGTCTTTTTAAATCTCTTTATTTTTTTTAATATTTATATCTTGAGGTTGAAAAATCCAGTGAGAGTGATTTGCAGTCTCTTAGTCTTAACTCGAGTCTTCATCAGTTCTTCTTGCCTCCAAAGCTCCACTAATCATAAACTAATCAAATTAATTGAATCAGTTAATCAAAACTATCAAAAACAAAACTCTCCAGGATCTCTCTCTCTCTCTCTCTCTCTCTCTCTCTCTCCTTTGGTCCCTTGTATCACTCTCTCGCTCTGATGAACAGATGGCAATGGAGGAGTTTGCTTCAAATTTAGGGCAAGTAGACGGAAATGGAGATTAAAGGGGTGATAGCTGGGTGTCAATGGGGAAAGTTGAAGAAGAGCAAGCGCTGCATTCGACTGTAATCGTAGGAATTCCAGATGAAAATGCGGGGAATCGATGTGAGATCAGCAAATTTGTTCGATTCAGATGTGTTATCGTGCTCCTGTTCGGTGTAGCAGTGTTGTTATCGGGGATATTTTCGTTGCCGCCGTTCTTCCGATACGGGAAACAAGGGGATCTGGATCTAGACGCGCAAATTAGAGGTAAACTTCGATGCTTTTCTCGGTTTTGTCTTTTGGGTGCTCAGAGGTGGTTTTTGGGACGTCTTCGTTGTGGCATTGTTTGCAATATGGGGATCTTCTGGTTATTTTGGTGGGTTGTTGCGGGTTTTGTTGATTTTAGGGTTTGTGGATTAATGGATGATTTATTATGCCGCAAATTTGAGTTTTGGTTTGATGGGATCTTAGTTCTTGCTAGATGGTTAAATTTTGTTTGGCTATAATTTGTGCATTTCTAATTTTGGGTGGCTTCTGAGGATATATTAAGGGGTCTCTTGACCTGCATTTTGAGAATGTTTGGTATATCCAAATTTGTGGTTGTTGTGGTTGAAGTTTGGAGTGTCAATAATCTTTTAGCAGCAACATTTGGGGAATAGACAATTTTCCCTACCTGCTTTTATCTTATTTTTCATGATTATTTATTTACGCACATTTGGTGGATGACTGGGGGCGCCAGTTTCCTAAATGTTTCCATATCTGCCTATATTCTAGTAAAGATGTTAAACTTCAATGCATTGTTTCTATCTTGAGAATTTTTAAGTATTTGTTTTGCAGCCCTAAATAATTATTGTTTCTATTTTGATGCCTTTTATTTCGATCAAATAAAGTAATTTTAGGGTATACTTTGCTGAACATGATAATTGAAAAGTGGAGTTTGAAAACCTGTGGCATGCACCTAGTTAAAAAAGGGTTACCTTAAGATTAGTGAAATCTTTGATTTTGGCCAGTGTTTTATTTTCACTTTTATTGAAATGGTTTCATTTAAGATCCAATTTTTTTTATCAGTGAAAATGATTTTATTAAAAAAGAGAATATTAGTACAGAGAATGGGTAGCCTCGGCTACCCCAMTGTCCAAAGACATTCCACCTAAAATTTGCTTTGTAGACTTACAACAGAGCCCAAAAACAATGTTCCCTGTTAGCCCCTTGCTTTGCTAGCTGGTCTGCAAACCCATTTGCTGCTCTTGGAGTCCACTGAAATAAAACCTGCATATCCTTTGTGGAGTGATTAATTTTCTTAATTTCATTTCTGAATACCCATGGAGCCTTTCCGTCCTGCTTCAGCCAGCTTATCACCACTTTGGAGTCAGTCGCCTTCTACAACCAACTTCCTTACAGCTATTTCCGAGGCCTTTTGTATACCGAAAACCAGAGCTTTTAGTTCAGCTGTAATGGAGTCTCCCCACCCAATAGGGCCGGAAAACAGCCCCACTACATTCCCCCTGTCATCTCTAATGACCCCACCAATACCAGCCATGCCTGGGTTGCCAAAACTGCTCCCATCAAAGTTTAATTTGAGGAATCCCACTTCAGGAGGATTCTAGTTTCTTACTACCTTCTTTTTAGCAGATGACGAGGAAGCTACAGTCCTCCAGTTCCTGATTATATCATTCACAGTAAAGTCTGAGAATGACTCCATCGATTTTACCCATGAAGTCACTTTTAACATAATCCCCTCTATCAGTAATTCCTTACACCTTTTTTTCCCTTCAAAAATCCTCAGATTTCTTTCCTCCCATAACATCCAAAGTACTGCTGCCCGTGTGCATCTCCATAAGGTTTTCCCCCTTCTCTTTGGCCACCTGAAAGTGGAGGCTTCAAACAAACTCCCCAGGCTCACCGGGGTATCCCACCTGCAACCAAAGAGAAAAGAACCACTCTGATATGCTGCTAGCTACAGGACAGGAAACAAAAATATGAAGAGCAGTTTCACCATTAGATTCACACAAACAACACCAATTAGGTGAAGGGCACCAGCCAGGCCTCCTCCTCTACATCAGATCACAGGTGTTAATTGCACCATGGTAAACTTCCCAACAAAAGGCACCCACTTTAGGGGGAATAGGGCGACCACCAGACTTCACGGAATGGAAAATGGACCGCAGGTTGAAAAGAAGTCAAAGCTTTGAAGAAGGCCGCACAACTGAACTCACCAAGGGGGTTCGGAATCCAAATTCTAGTGTCTTGCTTGGTAGAATCTATACAAATCCCATCAAGCAACTGAATAATAGGAGACACCAAATCCAATTCCGAGTCATGCACATTTCTACGGAGACCCAGGTTCCAAGCATACCCAGATTGTGAGGGAGAGGGGGACAGGAAGTCAGCAACCGGTTTTCCTTTAAAGCGGGACAGAGAAAAATCCTTTCTTCCCAGGACCCTGGATTGCTGGGACCAACTTTGAGTAATGACCCTTATTATTGAAGTTCTCTTTGTTCCTCTATTTCCAGTGCTGTATGTGGTGACAACTGTGTTTTCAAACCCAAAGACATGAATTGAGCTTCTATGACCTTCAGATGGATTATGGCATATACCTTGAGCTTGTGATTTAAGCATTCTATACCCATGTACCTTTTGAAAAAAAAAAACATAATAATTACAGAGTGGAACAATATATTTAACTCAGTAAAGCTGGTATTTGTTTCTTCAAGAACTAGGATTAGTATGCTTATCRTGGAATCTCAAACTGTGGAGGTGGAAGGGAATTTCCAGGTGGTGATAGGATGAATGAATAAAGGGGAAAAGACTTCTCTTGTGGAAATGCTAGATTCCTAGCTAATAGACTAAATGTCTTTCAGATGGATTTTTTTTGGGTGAATTTCAGATGGGTAAGAAGATGATACATTAGTGGATGCTCTTGTCAGGGAAGGTGTAAATAGGGGGAAGCTGTATCAGGAGCCTGCCAACTGAGGATAGTAAAGTGATGGTGTAAGTTTGTGGTGGTGACGTGGTGTGCAAAAGGTCTCTTTTGTAGTCATTAAGGGAGAGCCAGGTAGCTATATTATTTGTTGCAGGATATTATCCATATCTATATATTAAAACAGAATGTGCCGAGCTGACACTTTCCTGTTTTCTGGTTGATTTTGAAAGGTACTTATCTTTTTTTTCCTTTTTTTTTGAAGTTTTCTAATTTTAAAATTGAACAAAAAACTCAACTAGCCAATCACCTTTAAGACTTTTATCTCTCTTCATTAACTCACCATTAACTCTCCCTCTCCTCTTTCTCAATAACTCCATTAAATTCATTAACTTTATCTATATCTATATCCATTTTAATGTAACTATAATTTTAGATATTTACATTAAATTATAATAATTTATAAAATGTAATTATATTAAAATGGAGATATTTAATGATTAATTATATTATTAGGCCAAATAATCTACTTTTGTTTAAACGATAGTTAATTTTTAAATTAATTAATCAAGTAATTTGCTTTTCAGAATAAATATTATTTACTTCACTTAACAAATAAAACCAATGTTTTAAAAGCTGGCTTAGAGGCTGAATGTTTTTTGCGTCTAGGTAACAAGTCAACGGTTCAATTGTGCGAGTTGAATGAATCAAACCGTGACATGCTATCCATCTCTCACTCTCTCTCTATATTTATATTTATATATAATGTAATATAATTATATTTTGTGTGTATAACATTCTAATTACATTTTTTTTTCAGTATAGCGGGGTTGCAAAGATTTGTATGTTGTAACCTCTGACCCAGTGGGTCAAAAGGGTCAGTGGTTCAATTGTCCAAGTCAGTGACGAGTTGAAAAGATTGAATAAAACATCATAAAAATTATAATCCATTTATGTTCCATATGAAAATTATAAAAATTAATCAACCATAGTAAAAATAATTTAGTAAATTACTTAAATAAAATAAAAATAATTATTAATTGTTACTATTGACAAAAACATTTTTTTAATATAATAAAAATAATTTAATTACTAAAAAGTAACAAGATAAATTAAAAACTAATATCCATTTAAAATTAATATAAAACTAATACAAAATTATCTAACAATTGTTAGTTTATAACTAATTTCTACTAATTTAAAACCAACATAAATTCCAAAGGAAAAGAAAAATCTTAATATAATTAATTATAGTTAGTAAGGATTGATAAAAACAAAAATTAATAAAATTTTATTAATTTTGGATATAGTTTAATCAATTTAAATTCCATTTAAATATAGGGAAATTTATAAAAACCTCCTTGGATTTTCTAACAATCTTATGAACCTCCCTGTTTTTTGACCTTAACAAAAACCTCCCCTATTGTTTTTAAAAAAGGTGCAAATACCTTGCATCAGTGTTCCAAATGGAAAATGCTGATGTAATGCATTATTTTTTTAAATATCAAATTTATCCTTAACCAACTTCATTCAAATGTAAATTTACTACAATACCTTGAAAAAAAAAGGGTTTGCTTCTTTTTACTTCACTTCTACCTTTTAACCTTACTTCATCCAAGAAGAGTAGAGAATATTACTCTTTGAAAGTTTTAGTGAAGGGTGGAGTTGAAACTTTAAATTGTGTATGATAACACCTTAACAACGATAAGGGTATTTTGCTAACTTCGACATCTTTGTTATTGAAAAGCATTGATTAAAAAAAACTTTGTTATTTAAAAGCTAACGGAAAGGAGGTATTTGCACTTTCTTTTTCAAAACTATAGGGTAGGTTTTTGTTAGGATCAAAACACAAGGGTGGTTTATAGAATTGTTATAAGAGGAGGGTTTTTTTTGAAGAAGGTGAAGTATTGTATTAGATTAAAAAGAAGAACCCATGTGCAATGAGGACCTGTACAATGGGGCGTCCTTAAAGAAGCTCAATCAAAAAAAGGTCCAACACAAAAAAGAGGTCAGTTGGACGTCCTTAAATAGATCATGTACACCCAGCCAGTAACCAAGTAAACCTATAAGATTATTTTCAGCCTTCTCAATGCTTGAAACTTTAAGGTAAAAAATTTGGCGATTTCTTTCCTTCCAAATTAGCCAAAAGATAGCAGCTGGGAGGGTGTTCCACAAAAGTTTACCCCTCCTGTTCGGACCTCTAGCTGCCCAGCCTTGCAAAAGTTGAATAATAGATTCTGGGGAGCAAAAAGGAATACCAAAACAGGAGAGTACATTGTCTACAGTTGCTGAGAAAAGCTGCAATGGAGGAAGAGGTGGTTTATGGATTCTGGAGCAGCATTGCAAAGGGAGCAAAGAGAGCTCGAAGGGCATTTGTCTTTTCAATAACCTGTCCAAGGTTAGGCATCTTCCATGAGCTGCTACCCAAACCAGAAAAGCCACCTTTGAGTAGGGGTGTCCATGAAAAATCGAAAAACCGAACCGAACCGGAAAATGCGGTTAACCGAACCGATCGGTTCAGTTTCAGTTTGGTATTTTTGAAAAACTAAAGGAGCAGTTTGGTTTTCGGTTAACCTACAAAAAAACTGGCGGTTAACCAAACCGACCAGTATATATATTTATATGTATATTTTATATATATTTTTAATATATGTCACATATTTTCTATATATTATATATAAATATATGTTCATTATATATATATATAAATATACACATATATTATATTTATAATAATCTATTTATAAATTTATTATATATTTTTATAATATTTATAATATATTATATATCATTTATTATTTATAATATAATATTATACATATATTTATATAACATATATTATAGATATAAAAAACCGAAAAACCGAACCGGTCAAAAACCGAACTGGCGGACCAGTTAACCGGTGGTGCCAATTTGGTTTTGGTTTGGAGAAATGGAAAAACTGGTGGTACCGGTTCGGTTTGCAAAAATTGCCCATGGTTCGGTTAACTGAACCGTGGACACCCCTACCTTTGAGGGGATGTGGGGAGTCCAAATTTTATCCCAAGGAATATTAGGGACCTGATTATCTTCTTGTAGTAGGGAGAGAGAGAGAGAGAGAGCCGAAGAAAGAGCTGACTAAGAATTCACCAGAAGCAAAGGACCAGATTCTTTCATCTTCCAAAAGGGGTTAAGTTTGAAGTTCTCAAGATGGTTCATCAAATCAGCCAGAGGGCCCACGTCTCAAGTCATTTATATTCCTTCTAAAGGTTGGCTCCCAACTAAACTCCTCATTAACTTGATCGTAGCAATCTTCCGCCACAACATCTTTATCAAGGGCAATATCAACAAGGGAAGGGATTCTTTCTCTCAGAGTGAGGTCTCCACACCAAGCATCTTTCCAAAACCGGATCCGGTTTCCTCTGCCTAACATGTAGCTAATTCCTTTCAAATAATCAGGGAGAATTTTGAGGATGTTGCTTACTTGCTTCAGACTATGCACCCCAGGGGAGAAAGGCCAGGGGTGGAATCCCACCCAAGGGATGAAAGCCCGCATTTTCCAGCTACAGCTCTTCTCCATAGACTTTCTCTTTCCTTATTAAACCTCCAGCACCATTTACCAAGGAGAGATCTGTTGGCTTGCCTGAGGTTTCTGATACCTAGACCACCCAAAAAGTAGTACAAAATGAATAACAAACCAATAAAACTTAAAAATTAATAAAAAATAGCATTAAGATACAAGAATAATACAAATTTATCTAGAGCTTAGGAAATTGGCCACTCTCACTAAAGCACAACTTGGATTGTGATTGGAAAATTAGATGCAAAAAATAATGCTTGAACTGGACCTAGATGGCCACTGCTTCATTAGAAATGTGATAGAGTTCCTTCCTCAATTTTTCTTCATAAAACCTATGCATCGCATGGGTCCTGACTAGTTAAGTTTTAACAAAATTTTTTCTGATTTATTGATGTAGGACTGGGGTGACCAAGCATGTGTCTAGGAGAGTAATGATGGGTTAGGAAGAGTTTAAGGATGGTTTTAATAGAGATCTGTTATAACTGCAAGACTTATGTCTCAAGATAGTGAAAACATAGAGATCAGGAAAAGAGGTGTATGATAGGAGGTTTTCAACGAAATTTTGTAGGTAAGATTTAGAATGAATAGTTGCAGAGGGCAACCGAGTTTGGTAAAGTTTGGAGTATGTCTTGCACAAAAGGATGAAAATATTGCCTTGCCCGTAAGCTATGGAACTTAAGGTTCTAGCCTCTAAGTGAAATGCTGAGGTGAGATTAGAGGGATGAAAGGTTGTTAAGGTCTACGGGAGCAATCAGAGAAGGTTTGACATAAAAAGATGAAAATTGTTGGAAAAGGAAAATTTTGAGGTTTGATGAAAAACAGGAAGGCTTACATAGATTAGTTCTAATCCTTTTAGAATGTTGAATGAGTGCCTTTTGATGAAGAATTTAATTGCTGTCACTTTCACCCAAACCCATTCACAGTTGCATGTGACCACTGACTTGTTACTAATCTCCCACTTATATCTCTCCCCTTCCCTAATCTTTACCACATGTCTCATGTAAAGCTCCCCGAAGGGCTGTTATTCTTCTCCAAACCTCCTTTAACACCTATATGTCCACTCACAGCAATCGGAATTCCTTTAATACCCTAGTCAAGAGCCATCTCATCTTCTTCTACTTTCCACAATGTTATTTCATCTTTGTCTGCAACCCCACTTTCTTCATCTTCTTCAGAATTTGATCTCTCACAAGTAATGAGGATGATCTCTAATAAAATCACTTCCACAAACAATTCTGCCGTCCCCCACAACTGCAAGGTCCTCTCTCCTTTGATCATCACCTTAATTTCAGACAATTCACTGGCAAAACTTAAATCAATGAACGAGGTAACTGAAGGGCTAACAGCTTCAATAATAATTCTCACAACCTTGTTGAATTTCTATAAAATGATCATAAGCATCTCCAGTAGCATGGAATTTCTGAATACACCAAACATGTAGTTCAATCCCTGCTACATATATCTACAACAGTTCCTTTGGCATCAACTGATTACAAGAACCGAACAAAGGATTCCAATGATCCAATCACAAATCTGGACTGCGATAATGATGGATTTCCCACTGCAATATGCTGTCAGCGTCCTCTTTACTTGACAACATAGGGGTGGCCAATCCTACTATTGTACTAAGAAAAACACAATAAAGAATTGCCACTATCATTGGAAACTCAAATTTCACGTAAAGTACTTAGCTAATGACTATGAAAATATAGAAACAACTAAACCATGACTAGACAAATTAAACTATTAGACCACAGACCCTATAGGCAATATATGAAATGGCTGAAATGCCTTTACTGTCAAAAATATAGAAGTACATAAGAAATTTAAAATACTTCAACTTTGACTTATTTGCTCCTGCATTATCTATTTAATGATCAATATATCTTTTAAGTAATTTAGCGTGTTCACTCAACTCAACTTAGGAGCTGTTTGGTAACAGCTGAAGTTGCTGAACTGAATGACTTATTGATTTGTTTTTTAGTGGATAAAATAATTAAATAATAAAATATTCAAGGTATAGTAATCAGTTCAACTTCATCTTCAGCCATTAAGGAGCCTAGAACCTCCTTAAGAAAACTTATCCACTAAAAGACAAAGCAATAATCTGTTCAGTTCAGCCACTTCAGCTGTTTTCAAACAGCCCCTCAGCCTTGTCTCAACTATATAAGGTGAGCTACATGAATCCTTATCTGTCATTCCACTCTGTTTGGTGCCATATCTATTGTTAAATTATGGACCCCTAAAATCAAGGAAATTGGAGTTTTTTTTTTTTTTGGAAAAGGTAAAGTAATTTTATTCAACTCAAAAACATACAAGCTGGGATCAGACCCAGAAGGGCAATCTGAATACCACATCAGTTACACTTTCCTCCAGAATTCAGAACAATAAAAAGAAGACAAATTCAGACTTTTAAATTCCTCAGATACAGATATCCAAGAAATCAGTTTGCCCACAGCTCTCTGAACAAGGAAATTGGAGTATGATTGTTATGCATTATATATCAGCCTTGCGCCTTTTAATAAAATTTACTTTACCTTTTCTCATTTTTTTTTCTTTTAATTTCTAAATAGACAATATTATTTGCACTCTTCTCTATCATCAGGAGAGAAAAGATGGTTGGTTTGTAAGGTGATTTTAAACTCTATGGACTGCGGTATGAGAAACCAGATTCAGTCAGCGCAATGCCCATTCGAACAGCCTTTATAGCCTTGCATTGGGAATATCTTCCCATGAAATAAATCACGTAAATACGGAGATATTCCCAATGCAAGGCTGTAAAGGCTGTTCGAACGGTGTTCGAATGTGTCTTGCACTGACTAAAGCCGACCTCTGGTATGAGGCCTTTCTCTGAGCTTTTTGTCCATGGGGTGCTCTATTTGACACTGATCCCTTTGTGTGCAGTGTGCTGCAAACTCTTTTTACTCATGTTTTCTGTGCACTTATCTGATTCAAAAAATAAGATTATCTTGCTATCAAATAATGAAAAGTGACAATTATCTTGAAAAACACTGGAAATGCAATGTTCGCGTGGGAGTTGGGGGGCACTGGGAGACTGTCTATGGTTCAACATCAGCATTGTCAATCGGCCCTTGTGTTTCTTTCTTGCTATCTATTTCACTTTATTTGGTTAGTTCAATGATGCTTTCTTGTTTAATATGAAGCTGAGATGCCACTGAGCTGTGGCTAGTTGCTGTGTGAAAAATTTTAATAAATTTAATTTTTTCTTATTTATTTTTTATATTTTAGGCAATTTTAAATTCTGAAACTATAATTGCCAGGCATCAAATAGGTGGCATAATGCTTTCATATTTGCAATTGATGTTTTCTAATTTCTTAATCAGTTTATACTTTGACCTCACAAAGTCTGTTTTCCAGCATATGATGTAGTTGCAGCATTTAAATTGCAAAAGCCAGTTTCTCTGCTAAAGGCAAATATTCTGGAGCTTGAGTCGAACATTGTTGATGAGATAGGTGTTGCCAACTCTACGGTAGACAACCTTCCTCTTTTCCTTCTATAGTTCTGTTTGTGTATTTCTTCTACTAATATGGTGATCAAAACAGGTGGTTGTTATATCTCTGGAACCCTCAGCTTGGCCAAATTCAACGGATGTGGTGTTTGCAGTAGTTCCATACTCAAAAATATTGAATATATCTTCAACTGCTCTCAGTTTACTTAGATCCGGTTTTGAAGCATTGGTTATTCAGCAAACATATCTCCATTTGAACTCATCACTGTTTGGTGATCCATTCTTCTTTGAAGTGCTAAAATTTCGAGGTGGAATTACAATTGCCCCTCCACAGAGTGCATTTCTACTGATGAAAGCTGAGATATTTTTCAATTTCACCTTGAACTTCTCTATTTATCAAATACAAGAAAATTTCATTGAATTAAAGAACCAGCTGAAGTCAGGGTTGCATCTAACTTCACATGAGGTTTGGCTGTTATCCATTTTCATGTTATATTTTTTCTTGCACTTATATTTTCCTACATGGGACCCTTTTTTTGTTTGGATAGGGGGTATTAGTGTCAGAATATTAGTTCTAATTACTTTCTTGTTCTTATATTCATTTTCTGAAGTGTACACCAACATTCTCTCTTATAGCTAGTAAACTGCCACCATCCTTTGTTTTCTCTTATAGGTGAAGAAACACAAAAAATCCTGCTGTTAAACTGAGATTTTTTTTTTTTTGAAGAGTAAAAGGAAAATTTTCATTATCAATAAAATATGGAAATACAGTCCAAGAGATGACAAGGTGGCACCTCACCAATACAAGACAGGTACAGACTAAATAACAGATACTTGTTCAGCATTACAAAGTTGTATTTCAAGGACATTCCAACAATTTCCCCCCATATCTGATATACTAATTTGATCAAATTCTGGAAGCACCAATACCCAGTCCACCACAATATCCCCAACCAGGGCCACAAGCACCTCAATATCTTTAGACTTAGCTTCGAACATTCTTCTGCTTCTTTCATTCCAAAGAACCCAGCATATAGAAAAAGGGATGCAGCTCCAAACTATCCTTTCTTTCCTGCTGCCATTGATCCTTGGTCATTAGGAGAACAAATCTGCTGTTGATCTTGGCTGAAATACCCTGACCCCAAATAGGAAGGAATAGAGTTCCAAATGAAATTTGCAATCTTACAAGAGTAGAACAGGTGACATACTGACTCTTCATCTGAAGAGGATAAAACACAGTAACTTGCCAAGTTGAAACCTCTATATTTAAATGAATTTTTTGATCAATCTATTTTTTTTTTCTTAATTATCTGGAGTTAGAATGATGTCCAAATCCACTAACGATGCAAAGGCTTCCACTCTAGGAGGAACAGGATTCCCCCAAACTCCTCTTGGTCTGAATCCAGATGATTCTTAACCAAAGCCAGATAGAAAGATTTTACAGTAACCTTCCCATTGCTACTTTGAGTGCTTTCTTTCCACCACAGCCCATCTTTTGAAGAAGTTGTAACCTTTGATTGCTGAAGCTTTTCCAGCAATGATATGCACTCTTCTAATTCCTGATCCATCAAGGTTCTTCTAAATTAGGACACCACACAACATTATCACCCCCAGCTCAAAATATTGATCAACCTTGACTTGGTGCTCAGTCAACCTGTATAGCTTCGGGCATATCTCACACAACTTCCCTACTCCACACTACTCATCCTCCCAAGTCCCACCTTGAAACTAACTAAAGCTTTGAAGTCTTGGTTGAATTGCATTATCCCTTTCCAGACACTCAGCCCATTAGAGTTTGACACCTCCCTCAACTCCCACCCAAACCTCACCACCCCATACTTCCCAACTACCATCCTCCTCCAAAGAGAATCCTTCTCCCTCTCCAGCCCAAACCTCCACAATCATTTACCCAAAAGAGCCTTGTTGAAGATTCTAAGCCTTCTAATTCCCAATCCACGTCTTCCTTTTGATCTACCCACTTTGTCCCACTTTACTAGATGAAATTTCTTAGTTCCTCTCACCCCTTCTCACAGGACATCCCTTTGTAACTTCTCAATCCTTTCAGCGACCTTTGCTGGAATCTTCAACAGTAAAAGGTAATATGTTGGTAGACTTGATAGGGCACTCCTAATCAGTGTAATTCTGCCCCCCCAGAGATAATTTGCTTTCCACCTCTCCAACCTCTTTTCCACCCCTCAACTATTGACTTCAGACTTCCATATCCTTACTGCAGATGTTTTAGTTCCCACTGGGAGACCCAAGTAAAGAGAAGATAACTCCCCAATTTGGCATTCTAAAATCCACAACAAATTGCTCCAACTCCTCCTCCCTACTTCCCACACACCAATTAACTGGCTCTTTGCTAGGTTAACTTGCAACCCTGTGAGCATTTCGAAGTTAGCCAATATTGCCCTTAAACTCAGCATCTGATTCACTGAAGCATCCAAGAATATTAGAGTATTGTCAGCATACTGTAGATGAGAAATAGAAGGACCTTTTGATCCCACTTTAAAGCCTTCGGTCCAACCCAATTGAGCACCATTCTCCACGAGCAAATTCAGCACTTACATAACTAAAACAAACAACAATGGGGAGATTGGTTCCCCTTTCCGAAGTTCTCTGGATGCTTGGAAAAACTCCATTAAGAAATAAGGAGAAGGAAACAGATGAGACACAAGCATACACCTAGCTTCTCCACTTCTCCCCAAATCTCATCAGTCTTTGCATCTCCTTCAGGAAATCCCACTCTACATGGTCATAAGCCATCTCAATATCAATCTTGCACACCAGCCCTAGTCTCCCACTCCTTAGTCCTGAATCAATACACTCACTAACCACCAACACCCCATCCAAAATCTGCCTACATTCCACAAATGCCATGTGTGTTTCTCCCAGTAATTTAAAAGGCGTGCCTAGGCGCACAAGCGAGGCACATTTTAGGGTATGCGCCTTGCCTAGGTCCTAGGCGTAGCCCTTTCAAAAGGCGTCTCAGCCTAGGTGTGTCTAGCGGCTGGGCTAGGCGTGTGCCGAAGCTTCGAGAACCCCCTATTTGGTARTGTTGTTCATTCATTCATCCTAATAAAATATCTTCTTAAAAAGCAATTAAAACTATAAAATCATTGTTTTTTTGTGTGAGAACTAAGAATTTAAGACCTTATGTGGACTTGTTTGGGCTTGCCTTGAGGGGCGTGGCACAAAAGCGGCTCGTAGAATCAGGAATGTAATATGTTTTACATCACATTAGCTACTTGAAGTAATGCAATTTAGAAAAAAAGAGATTGTGGGTTTTATATGCTTGAAAATGTTTTATATATTTGATTTTATTTTTAAATTCTCATTTGAATATGCTTTACATGTTATATTTATGTATTTTAATTTTAGATAATAGGTTTTTAAAACATTTATTTTAAAATTTTAAGTTTATATTTTTATTAATATTATGTTCAATGTTTTTTTTTTTTATTTTGACATTTTTTTTATTTTTAGCTTTTTTTTTACGCCTTGCTTAAAAAGGTGCACGCCTTGCCTTGCGCCTTGCGCTTTTAAAACACTGGTTTCTCCCACCACCTCTTGAATCAATACACTCACTAACCACCAATACCCCATCCAAAACCTGCCTACATTCCACAAGTGCCATCTGTGTTTCTCCCACCACCTCATGAATTACTCCTCTCAACCTCTCTTGCTGGCAGTTTCTGGTTTAGTTGTTCAATGTTTAGTTCTTCAAGACCATGACCATGACTTCTTCATGACATCATTGTTGTAGGCTTAGTACAAATGAAGTAACATTAAGGCAAGTAGTGAAAGAGGGTGCCAATAAAAAAAGTAGTGAAACCCGGTGACTTGAGAGGGATTCCTTGGTTACTTAGGGAACTCCAACTAAAAAAGTGGTAAAGAAAAGGAGAAGGAATCTTCTTCACCATATTCCCCATTTGTGTTCATTGAGGAATCTCCATGGTGGTTCCTTAGGCTGCGTTTGAATGTGGTGTAAAAGTAAAAGTACACTGATGGAGTTGTACACTGATCAGTTTAAAGTTATGGACCGTTGTAAACTGGAAAGTGTGATTACTGATGTAAATGTTTACATCGTTTTTGTTGAAGTTGTACTGGCCTCCTACAGAGAAGCGAAGATAAAAGAGCAAGATTTATTAATGTCATCAGCTCAACTAGTTTAACCACTTACAAGATTACCATGTTGTCTTTTCCGATTTGGCCCTTGGGGCTATTCATGGAAAGACTTTGTACTTATTATTTTGTGTTTGACTATGCTTGTGAAATGCAGAACTTGTATCTGAGCTTGACAAATATGCAAGGCTCAACAGTTGATCCCCCCACTACTGTTAAGGCATCTGTCCTGCCAGCAGTTGGGAATCTTCCACTGCCAAGGTCAAGGTTGAAGCAACTGGCACAAGCTATCACAGGTTCTCCTGCAAGAAACCTTGGTCTCAATAATACTGTATTTGGTCGAGTTAAGCAGGTTCGTCTCTCATCAATTCTGGAACACTCCCTCAATGGTACTGGTGGCAATAATGGTGTGTCTTCATCTCCTAGTCCCGCTCCTCTACCTCACCATCACCACCACCACCACCACCACCACCACCACCACCACCATCATCACCATCACCATCACCATCATGCTCAGATTCAGAATCATCATCAAGATATCCATCAGGCTCCTACACCTGCAGCTGCACCCGGTAATGGGCACCAGGTGAAGCCCCCCTCTGGTTGCCAAGGATCTATTACCAGGGCCAAAAGGCAGTCACATTTAGTTCCTACTACTGCACCGATGGTTCCTCCTCCCGGTTCTGCTTCGCCACCAGATTTGCATGTAGGCTCTCCTGCACCAACCTTGCATCAGCTTCGTGGATCTTCTCCTTTGCCAGCTGTGATTTTTGCACATATTCATCCTCCAAGCAAGAGCATAGTAGATGTAGAGCCGCCTGATATAACCCCATCTATTTCACCATTGCCACCTTCGTGTGAGTCATCTATTATGTTCTTTATTTAGTGCATTCTTTACATTTAACTGTGTTATCTGTAAGGCAAGTTGTTTTCTGAATTTCACTTCATGTACCATGGTTGGCATGTTTTTTATCCGTTACATATCTGTTTTCTGAAATTAGATGATGCTGTGCATTGAGGTTACATATCCGTTACATACATTGGTTAATTGGATGATGCTGTGCATTGAGGTTATTGGATTTAGACAGTTTTCCCCCTTCTATATATTGTTCTATTTATTGTTTATGTATGACACACCTTTTGCATGTTCTGTCTTGATCATGTGGCTTGATCGGTAACAGACATTAGTTAGAATGACAGAGTGGTGTTTAGTTGTTTCATGGCTAACTTTTAGGGCATCAAACATTCTTTCGGCCCAACTTTCATATATCATGTTATTTCAGTAGCATTGCTTTATAATGCTACTGAAATTGTAGAACATGGATCAATTTAGCATCATGATATCTCATTTTGAAATGGTTGTATAGTCATGTTTCTCGCTGTCTCAAAAGCATGTTAGAAATAATTACCTTATTGGTGTTTCTATTTGTGAATGAATGAATCCCAAGATCTAAGCATTGCTTTATAATGCTATATTTTTGTGTTACTTCAGCTTCTGCAGGTCTTCTTCCTCCTGTCGAATTAGCAATCGTACTGCTGTTATTGGTAGTATGTCTTTTCTGACAGAGAAAGGGAAATGTGTTCTTTTTTTTCCTCGGCAAAGTCGTCTCCAGTTTCCGACGGACAAAAATGGCACGTCGGACCTGGGCATTTCAAGTGGAAAAGAAGCTGGAGGAGCTCCGCAAGTAGGAGCTGCGTGAAGAATGTGCCCAGACATTGGAGTCAATGGAGTGAGTATATTTTGTTTTCTGTGTAAATATTGATATAATCAAGTCAGCAGATGTGTTTCAGGTCAAAGCCACAGAGGTGGCAGGCCCTTGGTAACATGTATTACTGCTGGTCTGCTGTATGTGTATGACTGTTCAAAAAATCCAAGGAAAAGAAGTGATCTTTTGCCACGAGAAACCAAACCATGGTTATCCTTTCATTTTCCTGATATTTTCCTGAGAAAGTATGATTGTCATACTTTAATGACCAAACCATGGTACCGGGAAAGTATGACAATTTAATGACCAATCAACCTGTATCATCCAACCAACTGGTAATCAATCAATCGGTATTTCTTCAAATTCACGTGGGTTTTCTGGTTATGCTACCTTTTCAGTATACAGAGATTGTCCTACTGCTAGGGTGGTATTTGGTAAAACTGAGCTTTTATGCAAGGTCCAAAATATCACAAAAACACCAAGTTCTGATTTAAGCTGTTTAATAGGTATAAGTTTAAACATTAATGTTTATCTTCATATATGCATTTTTTAATTTGTCAAATTTATTTGTTTGTACAATCGGAACAGAGAAAGTGGGAGAATGAACCAAAATTCAAGGGGAGGTAGTGAATCATAGGTGGAATTGTTGATAAAAAAACAACAAAGATTTTTGAGGTGGACTGAACCATAAAATTCTCTAAAAAAAGTAGAGTAATGATTGTTAGGCTTACCTAGGAAAAGCGCAAATACAAATATGTAATACAAATGAGATGGCGTTAGTGAACACTCTGAAACCAGATTCAGTCAATGCAAGGCCTGTTCGAACAGCTTTCATAGCCTTGCATGGGCAATATCTCCCCATTTAATAAAGCACAGAAGTATAGAGATATTCCCAATGTAAAGCTGTTCGAACGGGTCCTGCACTGATTGAAGCCGATCTGAACACTCTCGAGTTGGGCTTCAGTCAGTGCAAGCCCATGCTCATACTGTTCGAACAGCCTCTTGCAACTTTGTGTTGAAATTATCTCCCCATGAAATAAAACATAAGTTGTTGCATTGGGAACATCTCCCCATCAAATAAAACATATAAGTAAGGAGATATTCCCAATACAATTCTGTTCGAATGGACCAACTCAACGCTCTCTGTTAAACTAAATCTTCTCCGGCAAACTTAATCCTACTTTTCCAGCGGAATATTGATATGGAGGGTTATTTCAGCGACAAATGGAAGAAATATATGATAGTGGAGAGGAAAAGGTTTTTGTTTGAAGAAACAGGCGGAGGTAAACAATATTTGCATTTACTGGAACAAGTTGAAAAGATGAGCTGACCAAGAAGGGAAGAAGTTCACAATGGATGGTATGTCTTCTAAGGGAAGAATAATAAAAGGGGTTGTTTATTGAGTTGAAATGAGTCGTTTGGGAAGGGTAGGCAACAGATGGTATGTCTTATAAGGGAGAGAAAGACAGTGTTGGGTGAAAGTTCCAGAAACCTTAGACAAAGAAGGTGGTTGGTGGCAAGGTTAAAAATATGGATACGTATTGGGAGACTGGATCTGCTCATTCCACCGTACATTGGAAACATCTCTCATATTTATGTGTTATTATTTATTGGAGATGTTCCCAATGCACAGAGGGATGTGCCTGTGAGGTCGTTGTCAAGTGCCCTGTGTGAGGAGCATATCCCAATTCACGTATTGCGGTATTGGGCCATACACATATACCTCTTGATATGTCCTTATAGTGGGTGTTTCAAGGAGTAGACGGGTCTTAAATTGACCCCTCTGAACCAGTTTTAAAAAAATAAAAAAGGGCATATTGGCCAATATCGATATTTTGAACCCTGGCTAGTAGAAAAGATGATTAAGGGGCCGTTTGGAAAGTCTTTTTTGAAAGATCTTCTGGAAGTTCTGACAGTCAAAAGATGTAGTGAGTTTTTTTTTTTTTGCATTAAGATCTTGATAGCCTAAAGAGCGTTTGGTTAAGGTGTGCCTTTTCATGCATCTTTATGCGCGAAGACAAGTTGAAAAAAAAAAAAAAACTTAGGAAGCTTCCCGAAAATCATCCAAAATGTGCTTTGTGCATCTTTTCGGTGCAACATCTTTTGGTGGCTAGATGTTTTACCAACAAAATGAGAAAAAACAAAAACACGAGTTGTTGGGCTTCTAAAAAGCCGAAACTCGCACGCAAAGACACCAAACAGGGCCTTATCGGTAGAAGATGGAGGATCGGGTAGTGTTCTACAAGAAAAATGGTCAAAGCTGGCGGATGTAGGACCGCAGCCTCAGATCTAAGCCAGCGATCGTGAGTCCACCCCCTAAACCACTACTGGCCTAGGTTAAGATGGTCGTCTTTGAGGACCGGTCCGACGTGGTTCAATCATTCCTAAACCGGCGGTATGACCAAATCGTTGGCTCAAAGTTAATAAAGGTGGCGATCTTGACCGCCGGCTTAGATATATTTGGGTCATCGCCTTAGGTCCATCAAAATGTTGCTTATATTTTTAGGTGGCGGTCTAGACCGCCGGCTTAGATCTCTTTGGACCGCCGCCTTAGGTCTCTTTTATGTATAAGGCGACGGTCATATGACTGTCAACTTTATTTTTTAATTTTTTATTATTTATATAAATTTGATTTCAACATTTTTTGGTACCTGTTTAATACAAATCTCGTGGCAAATAATGCATAAAAATCAATTTAAAAAAATTGAAAATTAAAAATAAAAAACTTTTAATTAAATTATTAATTATATAATATACAAAACAAATTGCTTAAATACAATATCCAATTAATATAAAAAAATACAATGCATTTAAAAAAATCTTCTTGAATAATGTAACACATCTTTCAATGCAAATTCACTTCTTAACATAATGGTTTAACCTTCTCGGGCTTTGCTTGGTTGGCTATTGAAATGTTCCACCTTTGCATCCAAGGAAGCAGTTGTGCAGGAGAACTCATCAATGGGTTCAATGAAGCTCCATATATAGTTGGGTCTCCAGGACTGGAATTGGGTGGAGGGGTTGCGGGCGAAACACCAAGATTATTGCTTTATTCGAGATGGTCATGTGGTCTAAGAGCCATGAAAATTGCAGCATATTGTCGAAGGCATCGATCATCACCATTTTCTTGTGGCTGAACCACCAATCTTCTAGTCCTCACCATGTATCGGCGCCAAGAAAGCTGTATGTTCACGGCTGCCCATGTCCGCCAATTTGATGAATAATACCTTGTCGTCCCTTTAAGCTTGTCATTAGCAAATTTGTAACTGAAAACGATCGGTAATATATCAGAGGCGATGGGCATCTAGACCAAATGCTTCTGTTCCCTCTACATAGATCATTCCAATTTCAATTCCAAAGGATTTTGATTCTGATTCTGATTCCAACTGTGAATCAAAAGGACCCTCAAATGGGTCTTATCCTTCATAGTTGAGAGTTGGGATCAAGTTATTAGTCGTCTAACGAAGTGGGATTAGTTGATTAATAAAGAAAAATATTCCCACTTGCAACTAGTAGTTGACTAACAATCGACTACCAAAAATGAAAATTTGACATTTTAAAGGCTAAATGGCTAGTTTCTTGTTTTGATATGCCTTGTATACGTTGTTGGGGCTAAGTTCTGAGCATTGCCAAGAATGGCTACAAGCCAACCTAATGGCTCTCTAATAGTCATAAGGTCTCAACATCTATAAAATGACGTTTGGGGATCGATGAAGAACATGAAACTGGATTAGAGAGTCAAAGATTCTTTGACTGATTCAAATAGACTGAAAAAAATAATAAAAAAAGGGTAACTCAAACTCATTTGCACAATCCAACTTGTCATTCTCGTTGATGGAGGGTTGAAATATTAAGTGAGCTCTGGTAGCCTTCCTGAATAGATGAACATGCAAAAGCCACAAAGAGAAATTGTACATGCGACATCTCCTCTTCTATCACTATGAAAATTCAATAGAAAAAACTAAACACAAACAATCGTATTCATACATTTTTTCTAATTGATCCTGCAACTAATTAAGCCTACTTGGGTTTTCTTTAACACAAATTGAATAGATGGAGAGAAGATCGATATACCTGCAATTTCTCTAACACAAACAAAGAGATGATTAAAACAAGAAAAAAAATAAGCTATTCTGAATTGACATTGGTGCCCCAAAACACATCCCAGCTATGTATTAGAAACATCTCCCAATAACAAGTACAGGGTACAGATGTGAACTCGAATATAGTGTTGAAAACAGAAAGTGATTATAGTTTAGCAAAATTTGAAAAGTTAAAAATGAAAAATATGGAAAACTAAGGTTTCCACCGAGAAGCCAGGATGTGGCTAATGCATTTGATTCATAGTGTGGGGGAATTATGTGGTAATCTATATATATTTACTAAAGTAAAATGATGCCACGTCATGGCTTGCCCCAGTTGAGAACTCTCAACCCCTCTCATTTTAGCCTTCCTTGCTCCCTCATGAAGCTACCTCATCACTCCCTTCTCCCTCTCTCATAATCACACCTCATCATGCCTGACCCACCCTTCTTTCCTCTATGTTTATCCTTTTCGATATCCCTTCCTAAAACTATTCCTGAAATCTCTCTCTACCAAAATCTAATCTAATATAGTCAAGTGGCACCACTATCCCCTACTACTTTTTCCTAAATTATTTATAATTCCTATTTATCTCCTAAATTATCTCTAATTTATTAGAGATTCTCTCATAAATTATCTTTAATTCCTATTTATCATCTCCCCCACTTTTCATCTTTATCTATCAAAAGATAGTTTGAATTAAAAAATTTAAGAATCATATAAACATTATAATAAAATTATGTAATAACTTTAAAATATTTATTAAAACACAAAAAATATCATAAATTTACTAATATTCATATTATTAATAATTTTACACTTTTATGAAATTCATAAGGAAATTGTGTACTAACAATATACATTATAATTTTATGAATTATTCAATTTAAATATCATTCAAATAACAAATATTTATAATTCAAAAAAAAATATTATTTAAAAATTTCAATAACTAAATATTATAAATAACAAAATATTAAAAATATTATATAGCAAAATATTTAACATTATGTACTAACTTTAAAATAAATAAAATTTAAATAAAGAAATTATTTATTAAATTTTAAAAAGTTATAATAACTAAATCTTAATAGTTAAAATAAATAAATAACTAAATAACG